TCAAGTGGGCTTTAGAAAAGATGGTTTTGCCACTATCTAGTGGGCTTAAAACTCACAGTTTTAATGCATTATTCCAATTTAGGTAATTCGCCCACCCACAGGCATTCAAGCAGTCATATCACATAAGCAGCTAGCCTTATGGTAATCATGCTGTTATGGCAACACTCACCGCATGCGGTATGTTAAAGCATAAATGCTTATCGAGGACTCAAGCCAAAACAAAAACTAGTTCGTAATCATATGCATGATCCTAGTTTAAGATGGTAATGCACACACATGCGAAATACAACTAGAAATGGCTCAGTTTATTCTAGCATGCATGTGAAATGCTACAACTAACACGTATTCAATTTGGAATTGAAACGCAAATGCAGTTAGCATAATGGCTGCAGCCTGTGCATTCAAAACGATGAATGGATGCAAACATGCTATCATACTGTATGCAATGTGACAAATGCCTAGACTAACCATTGAAAGCTAGTAAATAAAAGAAACGAAATAAAGATAGATAAAGACTCGAAGAAAGTGATAAGGTGGGGTTGGAAGACATACACACACTCACGCACACTTATTACACAATTACCCTCGCTCGGAGGGTCCAAATAAATATTACAGTCCAAATAAATAATACTAAATTAATTATTACAGAACTTCTAATTAATTAACAAATTAAATGCAAAAGGAAGGGGGCCACAATCCTGCTCGGATGCGTGAAGGATGAATGCTTGACCCATCTCGCCCAAAAAATCGCTGCCATAGCACTGTTGCCTCTATTAACACTGCCCTGCTCCTCTGGGGACCGCCAAAGTTCAAGAGTATGCTCTCTGGATATTAGGGAATACCACCGCTAGGAAAAATTCCACCGGCCAAAGGGGATGATCACCGGCTGCCTTTTGATATATCGGCCACAGATTACTGGCCGGTCGACACTTAATTTAGCCGACTGGCCAAATCTTCCTGCAGAACCTGCAATTGACAGCAGCAGAGGGCAAGTAGTGTATGGCATGGAATTTTTAGGCAAATGTATGCATGGCACACTCCCTATCATGTAATGGACTCAAGGGAAGCATGGCCCTCGACCCTCGGGCCATCAATTATGCATTTTGATGCATGATGGCCTAAGAGGCCAAGTTAGGAACTTCGATATAAATGGAATGCACACACAAAACACATCAAGGGTCCCAACCTTTATCATGCTTGATCAAGAGGCAAGGGATGCATGCACAATGTAATGCAACCTAAGCATGCAAGCAAGGCTAATGCAACATGATTATGCAATGCATCTAATATGCAATAGGCACACAACCTAAACATGTAAGCATACATGACATACAAACACATGCGATGATGGACTTAAACTAACATGGATAGCTCGCAAGCATGCCAAAATCAGTGGCCATTAGATGAAAATGAGACAATCGAAATGCGTGCACACGTGCATGCAAACCGAGGACCGAACCTAAGGCATAAAATGCGACTCTACCAAGGCATGGCAAGGGATGCAATATGGCATACAAACATATGATTTCAGCACTGAAACATGATGCTAAACAGCCCCAAACATGGAAAAATGGCACCCGATGCATGAGACAAACCCCGAAACTCAAAACTAGGCACATGGAATAACTTATAGCTATACAAAGCATGCATTATTTGATCATGAAGCATGAATACAGATGCAAGACAGTTCAAAACATGCATATTTCCAGTTTAAAACAAGTCTCAAAAATGAACACAAATAGGGCTAATCTATCATGCAAAAATGGCCCTAAAAGAGAGATTAAACACAAAGGACAGCAGCTGGCCCCAAATGGCAAAGAGCCCTCTCAACAAAGTTTAAGAGGGGCTCAAAAAAAGACACTTTACAGTTTACATCAAGCCACGAAAATAATCACAAATAAGGCCAAACTATCATGCAAGAAAAGGCCTAAAAGAGGGGTAAAGAGACAAGTGGTAGCTGCTGTTTCTCAAACAGAGGAAGAGCCCTTCAACAATGTTGAAGAGGGGCTCAAAAAAAGTTATTTTATAGTTTATGACCAAGTCCAAAACAACTCATAAGTAAGCCTTAAAATACTATGCAAAAATAGGCCTAAAAGAGGGATTAAGCACAAAGGGTGAGGAGAAGACCTCAAACAGCAAAACGTTCTTGATCAAACATGAAGAGGAGCTCAAAATATGACTCTTTCTAGTTCGGGTCGGAGCCCAAAAATTCTAGAAAGTATGGCTTAGATAGCATGCAAAACAAGGCAAGAAAGAGGGAAAATGGGACTCACCCTTGTAGAACCAAGCTTCAACAACTTTTTGGGCCAAGTTTGGGAGCCCTTCACCTCTGGAAATCAACCTCAAGTTGCTGGAATGGAGTTGGAGGTCGTAGGCTTGGAGGTGTAGTGTAAAGGGTGCAAGAACCTTAGGATTTTGAAGGGTTTTGAGAGAGAGAAATAGGGAGAGAGCGAGAAATTTTTAGAGAGAGAGGAAAATTCTTCTTCCTCCAAGTTGTATCTCTCCTTTTTCTTCTCTCTTGTCTCATTTTCTTTTCAAGAAGCTTGATTGATATAGAAATATATCAATCTGCAGTCCTCAGAGCTCCCACGTCCAGGCATGGGCTGGGGTATGGCCTGGAATGACAGCTGCCAGCTCGTCTGCAGAAATATCTGTTGAAAACCACATTTGGCCGGCCGGCCATCAAAGTGGCCGACCAGCAGTCAAATCGGCCCGGCCGGCCATCACATTTGGCCGATTGAAAATCAAGGTGGCCGGTGGGCAGGAGACTTGGTCGACAGGCTCCCTCCTGTCCTCAGGAACACATCCACAAGCTCTTGGTGCAAAACCAGACACAAGCAGTCGAGTCGAGAGATTCCGAGGCAAGGCGTGCAGCCGAGGCCTTCGGGAACTCAAGACGAAAACAAACATGGATGATCACCGAGTGCTCACGCGGTGACGTCCAAGTCTTGAGGACGGTCAAAAATGGGGTATCTACAAAACTATACTAGTATGTGTTTTGAAGAAACATAATATATTTTGCTATGTATTGTTACACTATACACAATAAACGAAAAAGAAATAAGATTTTGAGCCACATATAGTTCAAAATGGAGGGACCAAAGATTAAAACAGTACCAGCAGAAGCTCGAGCTTGGCAGATGCTAGGGTTGTAAGAATGAAGATTCAGAGGGCAAGAGAGAGAAGATGATAGTAGAAGTGATTGGTTCAAAACATAGGGTTTTTGGTATAAAGCGTGTGAAAAAGGTGGACTGTTCAAAATTTCAGAGTACGAGGGCGGGTTGATAGCTGTACTCAACCAAAGGGGCCAGCCATGTGTCTATGGAATAACAAGCGATTTAGATGTACAGCGTGACTGAAGAGACGTTTTTTGACCGGAAAAAATCGATAGCCCGGTGACAATTTAGCTCGGTTGAAGGTCTGAAGTTTTGCTCAGCTGGTAACGAATAATCCCAATCAGCTACGCAGATGGAATTAAAGGGCAATTGAGAGGGAGTTTTTATGAGCATTAAAGCCGAGCTAAGCCCAGGCGTAGTAATAGGCCGTTCTATGGGCCGTGGTGAAAGGGCTTAGCGAGTGGACCTTAGTGTTAGCTCGGTTCAAGTATGGTTACAGTCATCACGGTCAGAGTGGTGATAATTAGCTCGGTCATAGTATTCGGAAGCCGAGGTATTTGAGCTTCTTATGGTGGACCTTCTTTTGTTAGCTCGGTCAAAGCTTGGTGTAGTTAGCTTGGTCTCAATAGACAAAATCGAGGTACAAGTGAACAAGAGCCAAGCTATGTTGTTACAGTGAAGGCGCTGGATTAGTATGACAAAGGTAATGTTAGCTCGGTCATACTGTCATCTAACTGAGGTAAAACCCTCTATTTGGTTAAGCAGTGAGGAGGGTGTTGAAGGATAAACATTATCTTTCAGGAGTGTGATTCTGATGAGAACTCTACATGGAGGAATAAAAGTCTTACTAGGATTGTACCAGGCAAAAACTATAAAAGCTCTCAACCAAACTATGTACAGGTAACACAACTTTGATTTTCGAAATACATAGAGTTTTCGTCTATTTGTCTATTTTGCTGACTTAGGCATTGGAGAGGTATCCGGCACACACCCGCCGGCAAGCTCACGTTTGTGCTTTCAGGGAATAAAGTGACGACGTTTGGAGAAAGCGCAAACTTGATCAACAGGATTATACGAGAAGATTATTCTGCGCTCGTACATGAGGCATAATAAAAAAATCTCATGAGTATAACTACAACAATATAAATAGTTAAAAAATAATAATAATCATAAGTAAAGAAAAATGGTATAATCACTGTACATTGATGCACCTCTTCATGGGTAGTAGAATTTCCCCTTATAATAATATAGATATTGAAAAAAACAGGGTTGTTGATACGTTACAATCCAAGTAAAAAGAAATCAAGATTAGTTTTAAGTTGAGCTGCACTTTGACGTGTAGTTGTAGAGCATCAAATTTCATCTTCCAGCTTTCTCAATTCATCTCTGTTTCAGTCAACCTTCCTCATAATTGCAGATCCATTTGTCATTCCAAGATTATTAGGTAATTAACACTGCATGGAAATTCAGTTTTTAGTGGCGTTTTAAAAAAACGCCGCTAAAAGTGTCAAAAACGCCGCCCATTCTTTTTGTGACGCTTAGCACCAAACGTCGAGGACGCGGCCGTCGCTATAACTTTATGGCGTTTTAAAAAACGTCGTGATATTAGTATAGGCGGCGTTTTAAAAAACGCCGCCAAATGTCCTCCTAACCACGCGCCAAATGTCTCGCGACATTTAGCGACGTTTTTGGAAAAAAACGCCGTCATATCTTTTTTAAACAAATATGACCGTTAGCCGGTAAGATTTAAGAGGCGTTTGTGAAAACGCCGTCATATCTTTTTTTTTTTTTTTTTTTTTTGAAAATTGTACTAATTTTATTTGATTGAGCTAAAAAAATATCTGCAATAGCACTAATATAAAATAACAACTCCCATTCAAATAGTTGTAATGAAGCATTAATTCACTTTCTCTTCAATTAATATCCAATACCATTACCCACAATTAACATATCCAAATCTAAAAATCATGTTTTAACGTTAGCCACAAACTAACATATATCCAAAAATTATGTCTTAACATTAACCACAAACTAACATATATCCAAAAATCATGGGTTTTTCCAGACGCTCCAACTCTCTCTTTTCTTCAAGATGTAGTCCTCCTAGGTTACTGAACAGAACCAACAACAATGAAATCAAGCCAACACAATATGGAAATAAAAAAGGGATGCAAAATAAGTAAGGGGGAATCACAATGGTAAATGTAAACATGGCTAATAGAGACCCAAAATTAAGGTTCCGTACCATAAACAAAAGCATTTATATTGAAGTGATCCAAAGTACACAATTATGCCTCAAACTACTACTACCAACACTAAGCATAAACAATGGTAAAAAATCCTACTACAAAAACCTTCATTGAAAACATCAGCAACTAATCTCTTGATTTACAAAAAGGAATTTGAAATCAATCCTCTATTGTCAGTGTAGCAACCTGCTCACCACAAACGGAAAGTTTATTCTAAAGGTCATTCTTCAAGTAACTAGGATTAGGATGCACTTGCCTGGAAAAAATAAAGAAAAGAATAGAAAAATAGCAGTTCACTTACCAACTGAGCAACAACAAAAGCCACCACTAGCAAAAGGCCAGGACGTTCACGAAAGACCAACTCCTAGAACGTGTACAAATTTAGGGCCTGACTGATGATACTCACTATTAATATAATCACCTCAATCAAACATATACAGACACAGAAAAACTACAATGTTATTACAAACTAAAGCTGCCAATGGTACGTTTCCCTTCAACAACTCATTTCTTATTCCCTACATTATTAATATAATCACCTCAATCAAATTCAGATTTAGATAAATAATCTATAGTGTAATGGATCAGAACAATAAATGCACAACCAAAACAACATACGTTGTTGCATAATGCTCAACCAGAACATGCCCAGCACTAAGTGACAGCTTCACGAAACAGATTCATTCTCATCAGCAAGGCCTGCATATGGTAGAAGGAGACAACAGACTCAAATTATAGGGCCAAGAATAGGTGGAGACAGTGAGTATATAACATGTAAAAAAGACATAATATCAAACATATACAGACACAGAAAAACAAAACATGAGAAAAACAATACTTACCATCTAGGATTGCAGGCAACACCTGCTGCAAATAGTTCTGGAATTGGACACCTAATGACTTGGGAAATACTGCAAAGAAATTCAATTAGAAGGAATAATAAAAGACTTCCTATAAAACAAATACTACCAGAACATACACCAAATAATCAATTTCTTCTCCTCACTTGAAAAGTGTCAAATAACCATCACGCACGGATGCTTTTTGATGAGAACAGTTCCGAATGATATCAGGAAGTATCTGCTCAAAATAATCCTTTCCTAGTGCAGCCAAAATCTAGAGAGAAAAAGACAACAGCCTTC